GGGTCGGCGGGGCGACACGTACCCCTCCCCGCCCCGGCTGTGGGAGCCGCGGGCGGCCGCAGGCGCGGTGTGGCGGTGGGGCGCCCGTTGCGCGGGTGTGTGGCGACCGGCCGTTGCGCTCTGTGCCCTGGCACAGGGGCACGGCCGCCGGCCCGAATCCGCCACCCCTCGCTTTCCTTTTGTTTAATCGTCCAGGGGTTTGACCTTTGGAGAAATCCCAGGGCCGCTGGAAAGACAGGAGAGCGATTATTGTGCCACTCATCTTCCCCCTCCCGATTTTTTCTTCTCCGAAACAGTTCGTGATGGCACAGCGTTCAGTCAGATAATTTGTGGATAAACGGAACGTCCAAACGTTGCTGTCAGCGTGAAATGCAGCAGTTCTGCTAGGGGGAAAAAAAAATAAAATGGTGAAGTCTCAATATAATAACCACTTAAGTTGAAAATCCCAGCAATATAAACAAGTGACCGGAATAGTGGAATCTTCCTTATCTGTCTAGATATCTATCTAGACCTAATCTATGTTTGCAAGTACATAAAGGGTGGGTTGAAGGATGAAGGAGCCAGGCTCTTTTCAGTGGTTTCCAGCGATATGATGAGGGGCAATGGGCACAAGCTGAACACAGGAAGTTCCACTCAAATACAAGGAAGAACTTCTTTAGGGTGAGGGTGACAGAGCCCTGGAACAGGCTGCCCAGGGAGGTTGTGGAGTCCCCTTCTCTGGAGATCTTCAAGACCCGCCTGGATGCAGTCCTGAGTGATGTGCTCTGGGCAATCCTGCTTTAGCAGGGGAGTTGGACCAGATGATCTCTAGAGGTCCCTTCCACCTCTGTCAATTCCGTGATTCCTCTGGTAGCAACATGGTGACCTTTTCCAACAGGTGGATAACTTCTGCCCCTTCCTGAGTCATCTCTGTGGTGGTTTTGTGTGAGGTACTCGTATATGTCATGAATTGCTCTCCAACTGGATCACTCTGTCTTTTTAAATTATTAACTGAAATATTTTCTTTTTTCTACCCACTTTTAGGTAGAATGAAATGAAGTCTATGCTTTGCTTGAGTAGTCAAAACTGCCAGGCTTGTTTTCATAGTAACATCAGCGATTTGCATTCAGAAGGCAGAACTAAAGGTCTTAAATCTTTTAAGCGTTTCTGAATCTTATACAAGAATTCCCTCCAGTGTGGAAAGAGCTTCCCGTTTACAATTTCATGACATGCTGTTTCTTTCTTCCACAGTGCCTCAGACGCTCCCTTGATAACCTTATTAGTCTTGCGAAACATGTAACTGCTGAGTTTACCATCCTGACCAGCAAATTGTGCCTTTTCCTTTTGTTGTGCTCCCTATTTCTGCCCTATCTGTACAACGCCTGGCACAGTCTGCATGCATTTAATATCTAGAGCCGGTTCTGCTCTAATGCAAGTAATCAGAATTAAACTCCTGGTGGAGAAAAGCATGATACCACAGAATCACACGGGGCTGGAAGGGACCTCTGGAGATCATCTAGTCCGACGCCCTGCCAAAGCAGGTCCACCCAGAGCAGGTTGCACTGGAACGTGTCCAGGTGGGTTTTGAATGTCTCCAGAGAATGAGACTCCATCACCTCCCTGGGCAGCCTGTTCCAGTGCTCTGCCACCCTCAAAGTAAAGAAGTTCTTCCTCATTCAAGTTTGTGCCCGTTACCTCTTGTCCTGTCCCTGGGCACTACTGAAAAAAGACTGGCCCCGTCCTCTTGACACTCTCCCTTTAAGTATTTATAAGCATTGGTCAGATCCATAGGAAAGGTATGACACTGTTTTTTTTTCCTCTGGTTTTCTGTGTCACAGGCAACTTCTGCGTGTGTATGGCATGATTTGAATTGTATTGTCAGTAGCTCTCACTGAGATACTAAAATAGAGGAAGCCTATGTTCAATATCCAGATGTGTTAACTATGAACTGTGGAGAAAGAAAAATAAAGTATTGTTACTGCCTAACTGTGTCGTATTTTTCATTACATACAATGTCCCAGGTATTTACGGTGTGGTCTGGATTTGGCAGTGTCTTTGGTGAGCTTGCAAACTGGGAGAAAGACTTCCTCATTTCTGTGTGGAAGTGCTGGAACACTGATGGGTTGTAAACGCTATAGATAGTATTATAAAGCGTATAGAATGAGCAGCAGGAGTAAAGGCTGTTAAAACCTAGCAGGGCCAGGTAACAGTAATAAAACTGCAGGTGCAGTTCAAGCAGCTGCTAGTGAGTGACGTATTTAAACCACTGCGTGTGACACAATTGTGCATGTCCTGGTGGCTGCTTCTGCTGAGTGTTAGAGGTGGGCAAGAAATAGAAGCCGGCATCATATGAGAATCCCAAGTTTTTGGTGAAACCTGCTTGTCTAAAGTGCAGCTGTGAACATCTACCCTGTACACCTCATGCACACCCTGGGCTGAAACGTAGCAGAGGAGCCTACGGGTCACCTCGAGTGCTGGTATGTGGAAAACACAGGTAAACAGCTGCATGTATAAAACTGAAACATGACAACAGGTCTGAGTCTGAGCTTGTTGCACTAGGGTTTGGAAAAAAAAAAAAGGTAAAGGCCACAGAAATTTCTGCTGAAAAGACCTGGGATTGAAAATATGTGTTACTGAAGGTGAAGCATAAGAAAACACATCTCCACTAGTCAGTGGGCTATATAGGTAATCATGTCAGTTGCCAACAGCAAGATTTTTTTCAATCTACTGGAAAATAACCTTCTGAAGAAAGAGTGTAACCAGGAGGAAAAAATATTCTGATCGTGTATCTGACTGAAGCACTTTTCTTGTGGAATTGCTCTGTACCCAGTTAATGCAGATTAACATTTGGGCTTTGAAGCAGTTTTGCTGTTTTCCTATCTGGTGACCCAGACTGTAGATACTCTGGAACTGTTGAACCAACTGGCTGTTTCCAGACTGTTTGGATTGCAGGGGTATCTGTGGGGGGAAAGAGCCCTTTGTAGGATGCGCTTGTTTGTTTAGAAAATTGTGTAACAAGAGTGAAGAATGACAA